CTTCTGCTTGGTATTTAAAACGACATTAATAGAAATGTTTCTATTTATAACGCCTTCCAAAATATTCATTTAAAATATAAGGTTTTGCGTCACGTAAATTGCAGTAAATGAAATTAATCCCCCGCTTTTCTAGGAGTTTGCATGAATTTAAATTAAGCCGCTAATTTTTGGACATATCGTAAATCAGATTTCTTTGGAGTTACCAATTTCAGGAAAATTTACTAAAGGTAGTGACGTATCAACTGAATTATTTGTGCGTAAATGTTGGAATCGGCCGTTTTTTGAAGTCTATTTGAAAACGCTAAATTATTTTACTTTATGAATGTTTGATTTGCTCCAATATTAAATTGCCTCGTATATATTCACAAACCACAATCTGTTTGCTCTGTTCCGCACAGGTATTAAATACTGCATCGAGTATAATTTTTTACTAATCGAATTGTGTGTTTATTAACCCAAACATTACTTCGGCCCACCCATATTATTAAACGAAGTGTGTAAATGCTCTTATCGTGCATTTTCTGCTTTCAGAGCAAATAAAGACCTTGAATACTTAACCAGTTCACCGTCGTCCAATCTTCAATCATTTACCTTTTGAACAGGGTTACCGGCATTGGTTGTTTATATTCATTTAAATAAGCATCCAAACCGATGGAAATGACTACAAGCCATCTGCTTCGTAGGACAAAATATTTTTGCCTTATGATACTGCTACAGGGCTGATAGTTTAGCCATTGATATTTATCGATTCCTGCTATGATAAATTCATCAGGACCACAATCTGTGATTTGATTAATTAGACATATGTAGTCCAGTTCATAGCGAAAATCCTATCCTCCCCTCTTTTCTTTACTGCCTCATTCAAAGACCACGTTCGAACCAGGTACCCTTTTATACAAAAACGACCACAATTTCCATCGCCACTTTGCAGCATAAACCTCAGAATGGTACCAACGGTAGTTTTATACACGACAACGAATAAAGAGGGAAAACTCAATAAGTTAGGTGTCGATGGCACCCAAAATTTTATAAGGACAAGACTATCAAAATAGTACTGTACAAGTCTGCATGTGTGGGGAAATCTTCAGCAAACCTCAAGGGATTCTTCCATGTCTTCTCCAACTACTCTCTGTTCAACATTGTCGTGATATCGTTTTGACTTTTTTTCTTTACGCTTCCTTTTTGATTTGCGACGAGAATCGCCATCGGAATCAGCCTCGGAATCAACCCGGCGCACAAACTTGTGCTTTCTCTTCTTTTTCTTCTCACGTTTTACATTCGCAACCGCTTCTCCGTCATTGTCCTCATCTCCAAACATCACGGGTGAGATTCCATCAAGATCATCGTAGATTCCTTTATCCGATCCACCAGATAAACCAGCTGATTTCTGAGCCCTGGCAGCCCGTCTCGCCCTAAAAGACAGTGGAAAGCCTTCATTGATGTAGTATATGTGCAATTTGACGCAGGAAATTAATGTTATCTCCGATGGCACTTTTAGCAACTACTGTTATCGTGAAAACTCTTGAAATAATAAAATTTTGATACCGGGATTTTCAAAATGCACCAAATAAATGGATGCGAAACTACAAACCTTATCCTAACCTATGCAAACGAAATTGCCACAGATTATAAAAAGGATCGGAAAAAAGCTTGAAGAGATTACTGATTCATTGCGGAGATTTAATGCCTTATCCTCCTAACGGTTAGATACATAGTTCCTACGAAATCAGAATGAAAAACAGAAAGCAATAAATAGCCGTCTACAACAAAATACAGACGAATCTACGTGTTTCAGGCGAATAAACGCATCAGTGTCAAAAAAAGATATTCGAAAATAGATTTAAAAATGACAATCGAAACAGGTCTAACTGAAATGATATACTGGTATATTGACAAATGGGAAACCCTCCAAGCAAATAGCTGTTTTAGCATCTTTAGAATGAGTGGCGGTTTTTGTGAAATACTCCACTTTAAGCGAGGATCCTACAATGTTGTAGGGAATAGGTTTATAGGAAACCATCAAAATAATTTGCCTGCGAACATCGATTCGGAAATCACTCGGAAAACGGGAAACTGTGTTAAGAACTCATCCGCGACTAAAACCGGTAAATTTGTTATAGACAGCCAAACTAAGCCCTTCTGGTAGTAAAATGGACAACGGTAGTTCGGGACTTTTTGAAGATTACGATTATCATTATTCTTACAGCTTTTTCTCTCGCTTGGCCTTCTTCTGCTGTTTACGAATTTTTTTGAGGGCTTTCGCGTCAAGCCCCTCAAGATCGACTTCGTTTGAAGGATCAGGAACGGAGGGGATGATATTTTCGGATAATTTAGAGGGCAGCTTTGATGAGGATTTTATCCTAGAAACATCCGAACCCTCGTGACGACATCTCCGTTCCTGATGTCGATTACTTCCACAGCATGGTGAAGTTGTTTCCAATGAATTCCGACCAGGACTTCCGCTCGGAAATGGGCTAGGAGTGGGGAAACAAAATAATTATGAGGAATTAGATTCAAGTGCCGAGCAAGGATATAAATAGATAATATAATTAAATGGACGCATCAATTCATCACAGCTATAGCATGACTAAGATGAATATCACAGGTACATTTTAATTGCATTACTATTTGGCTAACAAGGACAATAAAGTCATCACATCCGTGCAACCCAGTTACAGCAATGGTACGGCGTAAAAAAAATCCTGGATAGATGCGAAAAGAAAATGAAAGTCTGAGTGCATTGGAATTGTTACCTTCGGAGTCGAGATTTGTCCGACTCCTCTGCATATCGGCGATACCGTTCCACATGAGTTCCGCGAGGTGAGGCTTCTCGTTTATCGCCTCGAAGAGGAGAAGAAAGAAGTGAATCACTTCTACGGCGAGTTCCACGAAATGGCGAAAGACGCCTGCGACATTCACCTGCTACGGCTTCCATCTGCTGTCGACGCGCCTTCTTGCGTCGCCATGTATCGTAGTCCTCCACGAATAAGCTTTCTCCCTTAGTGCTCGTTTGTCGATGATCGGACTCACTGCTGCGAGATCGCAAACGGTGACGTGGAGGTGAGCGCTTTCGCGACCGCCTATCGTCGTCACGCTTTCGAGAATAATAATCCGGCGCTGCTCTTCTGCGACTTTCGATTCCACTACGCCGTGAAGGCTGTGAGTCTCGACTATGAGAACGACGAGTTCTGGAGGCGCGGTGAAAACTTTAATCAGAAAGCAGTGACTCAAGTAAAAAACATCCGAAATCAGAAATAATACCAATAGACCATACAGTAATGCATGTGTCACTTACCCGCGACGGTGGTCACCCATCCCAGAAATCGTAGACCAACTACTTCTACTCGAAGAAACATGGGTCTACAAACACTTGCACTGTGTGGACCACAATAAGGTAAAGAAATCGGCTCGGTACAAATTATACATGCCTTAAGTATTCAAAAACCGGTTTATTGGAACCTGCTTCAACGGACGTGATTATGCCGAATTACAATGTACATGTGTTGTCACCAAATAAAAATCATGTTAAATACTTCGTTCTATTTACCGTGTTTGTCCCAGAGACAGAAGTCAGTTAAATATGAGGTTGACCTTATTAAGAAACAGCCAAATTTATTAATGTCAATTCACTAGGATCAAGAGGACTGTCAAAGTAATCTGCACAAAATATGTAATAGTTTGAAGACCTGTAGACTGTAAAACCGAATTTTCAATGTAATTCGTTTATACAAAATCGAAAAAAAAGTGCTCGCAGATAAGCCCCAACGAGAGTTCCAAATGTTATGTGTGGGACTAAACATTTATCGAAACATCAATAAGCCATTATCAACGAGACTTGGAGATGGATTTCTAATTACGTCTAAATGTGTCCAAGTCAGAGCTCATGGCGGTATAAACCTGCATACTTTAGCCCCTGAATGCATGACTAGAACAAAGTAGAGGCAGATTGAAAACGGCTCGGACGTATGCATCCCATGGTATATTGAGGAAAATTTGATGCTCGAACTAAATCAGTCAAAAATTCGAATGGAGAGGAGGATGACACCGATTTCGCATAATTTGACGCAGGCAGATTATAGGATCCACTTAAATTTATTTTGTTTACATACAGGACATTCGAGGTGACAGCTTGCGGCTTACGTTATAAACTAAATAGGATGCAGAACATGGGAGTAACAAACTGACTGAGTAGATACATAATTACATTTGAACTTAGGTTGACTGGTTTTTAGGGCCCATTCATATGCATGGCGCATTGATACCTCACGAATGATAAGTGTGCCTAATAATTCACACAATGTCTACCAAAAGGTCTCAAACATGACAATAATCCAGACACCCTTGTATAAAAGACACCACCTCTGTAGATATCGTTAGCATAACGCTTTCGATTAATTCGAGAAAGCCATGTCTCCAGGTCACCTGAAAGCTTGCATGTAGCTTGTTGCTTCTTAAAGCACTACTATATTCTATTTCTGATAAGACATAATTTTAAAACTTTGTAGAGGGGCCTCAGTAAGGACTTGATTTGATCAGCAGCTTTTCTTAAATGGCTAACATACCAACATAACATATTGGCGTAGCACGAGGGATTACCAAATGTGCCTACCTCAGGAATTGAATATCTGGCCTGTCGCGTGAAACCGAATAGCCATACCTCCAAATAGGGTTTTGGACAAAAATTAGAATGTGATCTGCCGTTTTAAATAACGAGCTGCATGTGGCGAAAGCAATGAAACGGCAAGAAAAACAAACGTATGGTGGTATCCCTACTTAACCGAAGGTACGGGAATTTCGTTACCTTCTATGCGAAGACTCCTCCATTAGTTGTCGCTTCACGCGGTAAAACTCCTCCTTTGAAAGAAGTTTGTCGACGCCAACTGCGTTGTGCAGATCCACAAGCGGGTTGACTGAAGGGAACACACCTCCAGAGTTAAGCAAATTGCTCTGATCCACACTGCCCAAGAATGACACATCAGGTGGTTGCCAAATGCTATTAGACGATACCAGAGAATTGCTTGAAAAGACGGTAGCAAGTGGAGCCTGGGCAGCACCTACCGCAGGCATACCGGCTGCAAGGTTTGCACTATACATTGCGTTCGCGAGGGACGAGCCCTCGCTTGGGAAGACTAACGGCGTATTACTATAAAGGGATGTGACAACTGGGACAGGCGGCACCACAGAGGCCCCGCCTCCAGCTCCAAATGAGGTTGCACAAGGCAGGTTGGCAACGCTACTTGTATTAGAAACAACAGGAAGGGTTTGAGGGTCAATGGGGAAACTTTTAACAAGGGTAACAGACGATTCTGATTTAGGCAGGAATGGTACAGTTTTTGAGCATAATGGCTCTGAAGAGTTTCCGGTTCTTATGGCAGTATCGTTACTCGTTGAATCACATCCCTCTAAGTTTGGAGTCTTCATTTCATCGGAGGTTCTTTGCACTGGAGACCCGGTTTCCTGAGCCGCCGCTTTCACAAAATCCGAGATTGCTGGTTGTTTCGGCTTAAGTAGTCGGCGAACGACCTATAGTAAATATGTAGTAGTAAATATGACTTACTTTCTCAGGCTCTGGGGTAATGCTTTTTAACTGAATAAGCTCTGGCGACGCCGTGGAATTTGTGATATCAGGAGAACCACTGGCTTTCAACCAATCCATAACTGCGCGACGCATTGCGGCATTTTCAATAATGGCGCTGTCATACTTTACGACAGGTGACTCACAGTTTGGACACTTCTGGGACCCGGTGTCAAATAGTTGGTTTGTTATACATTCATTGCAATAAGATGTCCCACAGCAGGTTATCAAAACAGCATCCCTGAGTAATTTCTTACAGAGAGGACAGACTAAACCTTCCGAAGGCGTACGCTCTTGAGGGGGTACGTAAGGAGGGTTTTCCTCAAGAGAAAAAGCGCGTTTTTCCTTCTTTTTCTGAGAATAAGCCTCCCTAAACACATCGAAATTAAATATAAAGAACCGTACGCATCCTTGATGGGAACCATGTACCGTCCGCTTTTATCAAGGTAAGCACCAGGAGTGCCTGGATCAACTCTCACCAAGAAATCTTGGGGGATACCAGTAGGGCGTTTAACAGTTTTGGAATCCACAAGATTGCCCCTGAGATCCTTAATGCCAGGGCAGTCATGAATCCAGTGGCCGGACTGATTACACTTGTGACAAGCATATCCTGGGGGAGGAACCCCATAGGCCTTCGCTTTTACAGCATAACTAAAATCATCGACAAAAACCAAGACCTCATACTTCTTGGACGAAAAAGCTTCAGAAGACCGGTCAATCATCACTCGTATTTTTTCTTCCTCCGTAAGGTCAGAATCTGCCAAATTTGTGATCTAAAGCGTGGTCTTATAAAGTATTTTACCACCTTACGTTTGAATGCGCTAAGTCAAGTTGATGGGCCTAAAGTGGAAAAGTACAAATCAAAAAGATTGCCCGTAACCTGAAGCACAGCTAAGGATGGCAACATACAAAATCAAATAAATACAATCCATTCAAAAAACTGAACAAGCTTATGTGACACGAATGCATCGCTTTTACGGCAGTCGCAACAAATAGCACAAAAGGACCTACCACCTTGATTTCCTTTGCGCCAGACGCTTGAATAGGTTTTCTTTTATGAGACTCATTACTAGGCTTCGGAACACGACGGACAATAATGCTCGTGAATTTAGGAATCAATTCACTGTCCTTGGCGAATTCTGTATGTCAAAACTCAAAATTTTAGTTGCAAACCTTTCCCCGAATTGTCCTCAAGTTTTAGGTCCAATTCTGTTGAATGCAAACAACACTTGTTTTTGATTGCATTTTTAAGATCTTTTACCGATATTGCAGACCCATCAAAAGAAACAGAATCAGTCTTAACACTAGACTTAAACTTGAAGTAAACAACAGATGCCATCTAACTCCGAAAATGAAAGTGACATTTAATAAAACAAGGTAATAAACAATTGATTTTAGGAATTGCCTACTGCTTTTAATGTATCCTCGTTATTGTTATTTTATTATTTTGACCACATTTTCTCAAAAAATAGATGTTATTAAAAATAAAGTGGAACGTGTGAAAACTTCAGCATGAATCCATGCGCTTTAGCACCAGGCTAACATTAGTCCTGGTATCAAAAATGCATTCTTTATTGCTGTTTGCATTGCATTTTATGGTTTACCGAAGTAAAACAAATAATTTAAGATATGGTGTTCTGTCATAAATTCTGGAAAATAACCGGTAAAATAGTCTCCACAAGCATGTTAAATAAACTCATTACACTATAGATCTTAAAAACATAACAGTAATTATTAAACTGTAAAAGATTGCAAATTAAACAGCGTAAGTTCTTCTTCCCGGCCGTCGATATTGATTTCACGACTTTTGTAATATTGGCAGTGTCGATGCATTTTCAAAATCGTTTCCAACATGTTGGGTTTGCTTAACCGCGTGAACTTTACATCTCATTCGAATGATTACACTACGAATTCTTTTTGAATGTGCCGTTTGCCATTCCCAGTATGCATTTTGCGTTACGCCTGCAAACTATGGAGCACTGCCTTTCCTCATTTGACGTGAGCAAAATTGATGGATTGAATGAATCGAGTTTTGCTGATTCGGTGATGAACACATATCGTAGTGTTTCCATGAACTCACAGACGAAGAGATGCGACAAGTTTCTAGGAGGTGCTTTTGTTACAGCATGTGCCTAACTAAATTTGCCCGTAGATATACTGACAAAGAGGTTGGTATTTTTCTAGGGAAATTTAAACTGTTTATCCCCCAAAGTGACTGCTGGAGTGAATACTCTTGGTAGAGTGGAAGGTCGTGTACTTGTATCAGTTTGATCCGCTGTTTTTGCCAAACTGACGTTACTTTTGATGTGGATTAGTAGACAATGTACTTTCTTTGGTAGTTATTCTCTGCCATTACTATCGAAACAGGAGTTAACGGACACTGCAATTTGAATGATGGTTGCCAATCCTATGACACACCTGCATATTCACGCAAATCGCCTTCATGCGTAGAGCCGTAATCCTCTTGGCGTTGTTACTGCATCCTTTAGTCATGTTAAGGGGCATCTTGTGCGCGTCTGGTTTTAGTGCATTGACTGCTAACGAACCCTAGTCTGCAAAGTGTTTGCAAATTATTTTGAAATCATATTATTTTAGTGTTCTGCCAAAATTATTTCCTACTTTTTTATTTATTGTAACTTCCAAGTCCTTATTCTAGCAAACGGTGGCCTGTGCAAAGGTGTCTATTTCGTGTTTAGTTAAGGTTCACATGGTACTCTTTGAGTTGTCGTTATATTTGTCTAACATCTGATGATTTTTTGCTGTGTTTTAAATTGCAAAATGCTTTTTTGTCCTAAAGTTGTGGTTAAACAGAATTAAAACCAATGTAATTTGTAGTTTGTTATTTCATCGTACGAACACGCATTCTGCGCTTTTTGTAGGTGCAGTGGGCTGTGTCACATCCTATCATAATTTCCATTTCTAAGTTATTTCCAAATCGGATCATATTCATGGTCTGATTTTAAACTTTAGTAATAAATTTAAGTGCAGTATCAGATAAATGCAGCCAAATTTTACCAATTATAAATGTCAGAAAATTGTAAGTCCATTTCATTTCTTTTCGGCACTGTTTTTTTGTATTAAGGTTTTTTTTAATTTTTACAAATGCTAGTTCTTATGTACATAGTTTTGATTAAACGTGAGTTTGGAATCGTTTTTTAGTAAAACGGATTATTACGTAGTAGTTCACAAGAAACGTCACACGTGAAGGCATGTAATTTCTATAATAATGCAAACTAAACAGTTAAAAAAAATTCATTTTAAAAGATTCATTCCGCTTTTACCGAAATACATTGTTCTTACATAATCACTAATTTCGATGCATTTTACGTCTGTTAATATACTTTCTTAAAGAAAATGAAGTCAGATCATCCTACTAGAGAAAAAATTAAAAAATTTCGAATTTCTTTTCTCTCTCTACATTGTTTAATAATAACTTGCTAAATTTTTGAATTACGATCAATATTAATAAGAGTAGAAAAATGTTATTTTGGATATTCACTTGTGTTATTTTGGATATTCACTAATTAAATATCTTAGTTGTAATATTGAAGAATGCACCTACATGAAGAACAACATAAGCTTTATCGGTGCATGAGACAAGAATTTCGAATCCATAGTAAAATGCCATTAAGCAGTTGTTTTAAAAAAGGTCAGATGATGGTTAAGAATATACTACATCAGAGTGAAATGTTCCAAAAACAATTGAAATCACTTGAAATTGCATATAGACGAAACGCCAAAGTTTGTAGCCATTATTATTCGAGCTGACCGACGCGACAACTGAACAAGCAATAAACAGTGTGCCAAGAAAAAAGGATCAAACCAGGACGAAGTTTATAAGGCTCTTGCATGATGGTGTTTCGAAATTTTAGACCTGTTTTTTGCACGAAACTTCACGCGCAACTTAATTTATACTTTTTATAACTTAAGTAGAGGCTAGCCAACATTAACATATTCTGTTAAAAATGTTCCTAGTAGTTGACAATGTCGATGTCATGAACAATTTCATCAAAAAACACCTCAGTTTGCTTAGTCAAACAATTAGGGGATGCTTCAATAATGCGTCCTATAAATGCGAACGCTTAAAAACACGTTTTTTTTATTTTGTTTATATCGATACTGTAATATGACCCAAGGAAGACTTCATATTTCGGCAACACAATTTTAACTAACCTAGTTTAAAGTCATCTTTTTTTGAAAAAAAAATTTGTTTTTTGATCAGTTACATATTTTACTTTCAATAAAAAAACATATCTACCTGTGGTAGCTGATTTTGAATACTTTTAAATAATGTGCTCTTGCAATTGTTTGTATTAAGGACGCCGCTCACTTTAAAGGTTTTGTCGAACCATGACGTGAGTGTTGCGTGCGATGAAGTTTTTTTTATTGACTACTGAAAGTTGACCTCTAAGAAGTCCTGATGCAACATCTTATGATTTTAAAAGTGACTCTTTGGTTTTTTGTTCTAGGAGTAAAATCCCGAAGGATGTTATGGCCAAAGAAATCGAGGATATGCTGCACTACAGCTTAAAGGTTAACCGCCGGAAGTTTAGAGAAACCGTCGAGCTGCAAGTTGCCTTAAAAAATTACGATCCACAGAGGGATCGTCGATTTGCTGGCACTATTAGGTAAGTACCACCGCATGGTGGGAGCCAGAAAACTGGCGGACTCCTACCCAGGGTCTTTAAATACGTGGGCAGGCTTGACGCCGTAAACTTCTATTGTGTAGATTAAAACACACTCCTCGACCAAATTTTTCGGTGTGTGTTCTGGGAGACCAGCAGCACTGTGATGAAGCTAAAGCAAACAATATTCCCTGCATGGATGTTGATGAGCTGAAAAAATTAAATAAAGATAAAAAGCTGGTTAAAAAATTGAGTAAGCCACATTTTCTAACCCTAACAACTCTTTCAGGCAAAAAGTATCAGGCTTTCGTGGCCAGTGAGAGTGTTATTCGCCAAATACCCAGGATCCTTGGTCCGGGTCTAAACAAAGCCGGGAAGTTTCCCACTGCTGTCTCGCACCAGGAGGCACTCGTGCAGAAAGTGGAGGATATCCGCGCTACAATCAAGTTTCAGATGAAAAAAGTACTCTGTTTGGGCGTCGCAGTGGGTAACGTTGGGATGACCAAAGAACAACTGCAGCAGAACATCACGCTTGCAATTAACTTCCTTGTGTCCCTGTTGAAGAAGAACTGGCAGAACGTGCGTGCACTGTACATCAAAACCACAATGGGTCCACCCCATCGTCTGTACTAAATACATAGTATGACACTTTGGAACCTGAGGTTTTTTGTTGGGGTCATATTTGATAAACGGTGGTGTCAGACTGATTTAAACCCTGGTACTTATGTACAATGTTCTATGGACTGGAGTTGATTACCCCTGGCATAGCAGATAATGGTGTATCCGTGACGGTTCGGATCTGTCTCTGAGGTACTAGCCCATGCGTTCCTTTACTCTTGTTGGACTTGGCTCGCGACCCAAGGCACCTATCTGCCCTCTCACGCCAACCCAAACAGCAGGTGCCAGATTCCCTTCTCATGATTTATTGGAGGAACTAAACGTTGCTGCCAAAGGAATATGCCAATTCCAACTACTGGGGCCTCTGAGTAGAACCGCATGTGCAAACATACACCGCAGAAGTGGAACTCTGCGCCCTGATGTCGTGAAGACGCATAAAAAAAGACAATGACGGGGTAAAACTTGGTTTATTTAGCGTCATAATCGCGAATAGCACGCAAGAACGGGTGGTTCTCATGAAGATAAGTGGCCATGGTTCGTTCTGCGTAATAACTACTTTTCATCTCAACGTTGAAAACAACATCCTCCGCAAGGTGCGCTTTACCGACCTGCGTGCCGCCGTCGGCAGGACCATCTACATGTATAAAATGCATGTGCAGGCGATAAAAGGTCGGTGGATAGTGAAAATAGGCAATGATTTGATCTTCACGGAGCGGTTCTTTCCCTTGGTCACTATACTTCAATACCAGTTTTCGCTTTCCTTCCGATAGCATCTTTTTAAGCATTGGAATATGGCAAGCCCTGAGGTCCCGCAGACAGGTTAATTGCGAGTTTCGTGCTATCGCTAAGGCATGGAGCTCGTGCAGTTGACAACCATTCCAGCGATAATCCAGAACGAGTGTGAATCCCAGATCAGCATCTTCATCAGAATACAAAACACGGTCCGCCTCAGCCGTTCCATCGAGGATATTATCAACCCACCTCAGGTCCTTAGGATTCGACGAGATGAACGGCACGATGACGTTAGAATAAATCTCAGGTGTCTCCGAAGTAATAAGACGTCTTGATGATGAGTATTTGGCAAAGTGGTGAGACTCCGCAGGATGGATAACGGTCATATTAACATCATTAGTTTCCTCTAAGCCAGATTTTACAGTGAATCGGTGGTAAATATCATTGCCAACTACTTCATTCGCCTTCCATGTAGGAAAGTCGACTTCTTGGAGAGCATGTTCTTGGTCATCTTCGGTGAACGCCGTGCCTACATGTGCCCCGCATAAATCTGCTACGTCATTTGGAAATGGTGACTTCTGTAGTATTACAATAGAATCCTTATCCATTGATTCAGAGAATTTGACGTGCAAGCAAATCGCTTTGGCTCTGGTATCATTTCGAAGCACCCGAAGAATCCGAGTTTTTGAAGGACAATAGGCATTTGAAGCAGGCGGTGGAGAAGCGCCTAGTTTAGAGGACGTCCGACGACGTTTTAGAGGAGGGTTAAGTGATTTATTCGCGGTATGGGTAGGAGAATTGTCAACTTGGTTGTGAGGATCCGATGAAATCATTTGGATAAAACAATATCACGGAGATCAATCTCAATGGCAATCAAATCGTTGTCACGAACTCGCGCTTGTGGAACAACTCCAAGTGGTGTCCAGAGCTCCTTACAGCAAACAACACCTGCGCAGTCTGAGTTGTTGGATAGTTTCGGAGCCCAGACGTCGAGGCAGCAGGTAAGCGGATTTGGAATATTAAACAAATGCAAACGAGCGGGTAAATTGCTCCCAGTGATAACAGAAAGCAATGAAAGGAAACGCAAGGGAAGCGAATCGGCGTTTTCGTTCAGAATTTTTAGAGAGCTGAGGTAAGTTGGTTGCATATAAACTCTGAGCGTATGCAACTAATGGACATAAACAAAGGCTGGATCGTAATAGGGCTGAGTTAGATTGGAAGAGTCGGAAGGATGCAAGTTCTAAAAAAAGAGATTGATGAATCATTAACCTATTAGTCAATAAATCAGTAAAAATAAAGCTTGGGGGAAAAAAACAACAAATAAAGACAAGATATAGTGGCGAACTCATTCTATCCTGAAATGAGAAAATTCACAGGTTGATAAGAGGAACAACCAAAAGATACGCGAAAAGGAGAAAAATGGAGTAGTTAAAACGTTCGTGAAACAAAGGAAAAATAGGGATGGTAATTCAAGCTGGTAATTCACATTTTTGGGAGGACCAAGTGCAAACTAGAGATGAGACATCGAAACAACCAAATGACGTATGCATTGTAATTTTCGAGTAGCAGACAGATTTGCGCGCACAGACTTACATTATTTAGCAAGAGTATGATGTCAACCAAATACCAGAGACCAAGACCGCCAAGCGACCACATTTTCAAAGCACCTGGTAGGTTATAAAACGTGATAACAAACCTAATGCGACATAGCCCAGGTAGAATCTGTCAAGTCCCAAAATTCCACCGAAAATAGAGAGAATTAACGCAGTTTCGTACTTATATCCATTACTATATGATATTGTGATAATAAATTGCATACGTCCACAAACAAGTAATGTTCTTCATAAATACAAGTCTCTCACCGTCGTTAACTGAGCCATAACATAAAATGCCTGGCGCAACAGTACATTTGGCTTAAATAAATATAGAAATAATCAAATACTTAACGCAAGACCAGTTGCCTGAGAACACCCAACAGGCTGCTGAGTTAAGGTATCAATACTTGGTTCGTCGCATAAATATTGGCCCGGCAGAAGTTCTGAACACTGCTGAAGTGATGCAGTGCTTCCACAAAGAAGAAACACCGATAAAAACAATACTAGCCACACTAATACACCACAATTGACCATAAGTACCGCCATTTGAAATAAATGGAAGGACCGCGCCATATTGTACGGACATGCACTGAAGGCAAATGCTTGTTTACTATAAGAGGATTTCGGACACAAGCAGGTTACAGAGTTAAAATAGCAAATTTGTCACAGAATAGCGCAGACTTTAATCATATTCAAGAATTTAACGAGGGATGGGGACCAGAAGTTAGAAGAGAGACTAAACATTAGATGTCCTTGAGAACCATGTGCCAAAATGCGTGTATGATAGGGGGAGATATTTGATTAACATTTAAACCATTGTCCAGAATTGCGAGACTTGTTTCTTATACGCTATTGACATCACCAGAACTGCCTTGAAAAACTATGGCCAGGAACCCAAAAACATATCCGCACGCACCTAGGGTTATGTATATAAGTATATATTTTATCGAGCGGGGATCAATTGTCCGTTAGAAAACGTATTGACAAGCGAACTTCATTTCACAGATCTGCTTAATAAACACAGTAATAAAAATTTTGCCTACCGAATCGATCCAAATTTCCTCTCGTGATTTAAATTGCCAACAGTCGCCCAGGAGTTGGCTAAATTATTTTTTTATGGAAATCTGTATGATGAATAAATGACGTGGAGTCATAGAGTCTTTAAAATCCTTAAAAACATTTGATTTTATAAAATGCACAGAGTTCATAAATCCGGGGGGTCCAAACATTTATGGTCGCTATTTGCAATAGATATCTCTAAATATAGTGAGTAGGTAAAAAACATAAATAAATTAGCCATTAGAAATCAAAATGAAAGTCTTCTTAGTTTGTTTTTCTCACTCAGATTTTTGATTAATTAACTATTATGCGGCCAAATGAACATAAAGAGAAGAAGAAGAAGAAGAAGAGAAGGAGAAGACAAAAAGAATGTGATGGATAACCCAGCACAAACAGTGTCACTTAATTTTGTTCTAATTAGTTGCTTACTACTATAAATACTAATACTAATATAAACGATTACCTTTCTATTTTAGCTCTCACTTAACACTTAATAGGTGTAAAACACAATATAATAGTCTTGTCTCAACAAGGTTAGTCGATATTTACAAAGAAGTAGACGAAGTCCTCGGTTCATTTAATCAGGTCCTGATAGAATTGATGGAATTTGTTCGATTTGCCACTGTACTGTGATCGTTGGTAATGTGCTGATTTTAGTTCAAGAAAGAGTACATTCTTGATTGCCGAATAAACACGGCATCAGATTTTGGCGTCAAATAATCACGCCGCGTAAAAATTGCAATTCCTAAAAAAGATTGTCTATTCTTAAAGCCGAGGTGAAATTTTGAAGAGGATTTTGCAATAAAACATCCAGTTCTGTTATAATTGTTAAGTGTTAATCTCATTGATTAATAAATGCAGTATTTCGTTAAAAACCTTAAGTTGTGTTAAATATCGTGGAGATACGTACAGAGAGCAGCTAACAGTATACCAGCAATCATTATGAAGATCATGTCATCGAAAACGACGTTAACGATCACTGCTTCAGTTGGACCTGAGTAAAAATTTCCAATAATTTTTGCTTGCATCCCCAAGATGATAATTGCTTGGGATTGTTTTTTTTTGTTATCTGCTTTTTGTTGGCATTTTATTTTATGGCTTGTTTTAAGTTGTTTAGATTTTAGTCATTCTCTTCCTTAAGTCCTCATTATCATTTCAGTGCGACATTATCGAGTATGTAATTCAAGTCATTTACAAGTGGGTGTACCAGAAAGTAGACTGGGTTTTTGGTCGAGAGTAAAAACCTTTTGCGTAGGGGAATGTAGTGGCCCAGTTTGTGATTTTTGTACCTGAATTATTGTGCGTAAAATCCTTGACGTGTCAGACACGAGGTCTGATTATTTGTAATCATTACTTTGTGTCTATGTACCTGTAATAGTGACACAGCCCAAGTTATGAAATTGTGCCAGGTTAGTCTTTGCACATACTTGTGGCAAACACGACCACCTTAGTTTTAATGTTAAATTGCTTCAAAACTCGGCTTGCAAGGTCTTCGTTGTTATAAAGCATATTTTCTGTCTGTAGAGAAACAAAATTACGACAAGCTTTACGCCTGAATTTAATCCATCACGTTGAGTCTGTAAAGAGGAGAAGATGATTCTTTACGTGACACAAGGATATGTTTTGGGCCCCAGCATGTGGTCTTGAACCAAGCCGGGGCACCGAGTCGGTTCCCGCGATGAATGAAGATGACCAGAGAGGACGTGGGCACAACCGTTTACTTCAGACCTCAACCAAGTTGATGCTGTTATGTCGTGTATGACGTTTGCGTGTTTTTTTTTTTACCTCAGATGTGTGTCACAGGTGTGCTGAAATCGAGACCTAGGTGTAAGGATAATTCACGATAATCAGAGGGAGTTGAGGTTCCCCGAGGCTGGCAACATGCTGCGAAAAGGAACCTGATGTTGGTGGCTGGAGTGACGGGATTAACGAGTGTGAATCAATGTGATTCACAACAAATGCGTACTAGGCCAAACAGCATATTTCTTCGACAACACATTAAAAAACAAAAAGTTTCCAAAACAAACAATAAATCTAGATACCTCTTTAGGCACTTCAAAAAAGTGCTTATCTTAAGCATCACTATTTCATTAAATAAATTGAGTTGTTTTCTCTACTAAGTATAGCAACAGGTAAATCGGGATTGACATAATAATGTTGCACTGCCTGTTGGACGAAAGCCGGCACTTTAATTTGAATTCGGCTGAATCTGGGTTCGTAAATCAGAATTCAGTATACTGACTAAGGGGACAATAACAGTTTGATAGTTGTCGAAGTTTCAGAACGATCGAAACAGGTCTTTCGCAGAAAATAGTGATATTAATCCTGATCTTAATAGGGAGCTAACATTTTTGGGAGGACCAAGTGCGGACTAGTGATGACATACCAAAACAGCGGACCAACATTGGCATTATAATGTTCGTACAACATACAGACTAGCTCCCATATACTTGCGTTATTTAGCAAGATTGTTACCTCAACCATACAACAGAGACCTTATATTCGCCAAATTCTACATTAATCTGTGGTTCAAAGTGCTATGTGTGTTTTTTGCCTTTTTACCACGGTCATTTTTGCATTTTCCTTCAGTTGCCCTTTCCTATTTCATTGTTGCTTTCCCTACTTTTAGACTAAATCCTCGTTGATTTTTTCCTGTACGCAGGTTTTAAGAAATCTATTTCTTTCTATTTTATAAACTAATTTCTGTAAATGAAAATCACGATTTTGTTACAGGGGCTGCTACAGTCTATGTGTCTGCATATTTCTTGAAACGTCTTTTTGATTATATCCACGATATATGGTTTGCAATCTGATTTTCGCAATTATTGACCACTCTATTGGCTTCAATTTAATGTTTTGAATTGTAAAATGATAATTTTTTACTAATTCCTTTGCGCATTGCATTCATATGATTTATTTTGGAATCGAAGTTGTTAAAAAGAATAATGTTGCAACATGTCTGCAGAAAACAGTCCTGGCAGCAGTAAATGAAAACATACTTCGTCCTGACTGCGGTTGATTAAATGTACACAAATAAACAAACTGAAGGCTATAATAACATGTCAACAAAAGATGAGGATCAGTTGTTTTTACTTGGCATTTCTGTGTTATTAAAGGCTCGAAATAGAAAGAAGTCGATGAAGACCATTAACTCAGATGGTATAAGGACCAAAATAGAC